TGACAAACACCTGAATTGCAACCTGGGTGAGAGACAGTGAACCAGAGGAAACCAGCTGAGCCACACCTGGATTCCTGACCCACAGACTCTGTGACACCATTTGTGTTGTTTTAAGCTGCTAAATTCGGGAGTCATTTGTTACACGACCACAGATTACTAATAATAAACGTTTACATTCAAATCTCAGCAAATTTGTCCTTTAGGAATATGACAATTTGCGTGATTTACCAATACTGGGCCTGGAAACATTTTTTTTTTTTTTAACTCTGGGGTAGAATTACAGAACTGCATTTTAGAAATCAATAAATGTTATTTACATAATTTTATATAATAGCAGCATTGATGACAATCTTTATTTGAAAATAAAACCACACAGCCCTGGCTGCTGTGGCTCAGTGGATAGAGCATCAGCCTATGGACTGAAAGGTCCCAGGTTCGAGTCCGGTCAAGGGCATGTACCTTGGTTGTGGGCACATCCCCAGTAGGGGGTGTGCAGGAGGCAGCTGATTGATGTTTCTCTCTCATCTGTGTTTCTGACTCTCTATCCCTCTCCCTTCCTCTCTATCCCTCTCCCTTCCTCTCTGTGAAAAATCAATAAAATATATTTTTAAAAAAAGAAAAGAAAACCACACAAAGTAAAGTTGAAGGTACTTTAGTTTCTTAGATGATCAAAATATAAATAAATCCTGACCCAGTTCTCCCTATACTTACTGAGCTGCAGAAAGTATGATGGAGAAATTCAACAACTTTGGAATCACAAGCTGGGCATGCCAAAGCCATCGATGGGTGTCAGAAGGTTCATAGATTTTTCACATGGAAACCTGGATTCTCGGATGCAAGCTCAGGGAGTCCTCTGTTGCAGACGTGACCTTGATCCCATAGGCAGAGAGATCCAGACAGAGGTTGTGGGCTTGGATTTCTGGTGTAGGCACTTGGAGGATGTGAAAAATGAAGAAGATTGTGGAGGAAAAGAATACTGACCACAGAGCTTTCTGATGGGTCCTCACCACAGGTCTGGCGTGGATTAACTCACATGGTCACTGCTCTCTATTTCAACTAAATGCCAAATGTCCCCAAAGTACAATCATCCCTGGTTAAGAACCACTGCTCTACAGGATTTTCTTCTGCTATCTGACTTCAGTTTCAATTACTAATATGTATTTGTAATTGATGGAGATGGAGTTTCAATAACGAAAGCTAATGCTTATTAAATATTTAATAGACCCTACGCACTTGCCAAACATTTTGTATATATTATCCAACCTAAACTTTGAAGTAGATACTAATATTAGTGTAACATGTCACAGTTGAAACTGAGACACAGTGGAGTAAGGTAAACTAGATCGAGTCACTATGGATCAAGAACTGACCATACATTTTAGGTAAAAGCCTGTAGGCAAGGCATTAGTATAGTCAGTGTAGGACGAGGAAACTGAGGCTTAGAGTATTTGAGGAAATTATCTAGGTTGCACACCCAATACAGAGTGGAGCCAGTCTGGTTCTAGAACCTTTTCTCCACTCTTGGGTATTTTTTGTTTTTGTTCTCCTTTATTCACTTTTTGAAGGAAAAAAAGGTGAGGACAAAAGCTGAATATAATTGTTAATAAGGATTTGGGTTTGTTCTAAATGACAGTCACCCATGTTATCGCCGAGTCCTTTTACACCGGATAAAAGAAAGACTGTTAGTTAAAACGTAAGTCTGCAGGAAGGCATTCCTTTGTTGGGAAGAGTTGTTGCAGTCAGGTTGCTAGAGAAACTCTCCTTTTTTCTTAGACAAAGCAAAACGTAGACAATGTTATTAATTAAAGTCCAAAGTGTATTTCTATTTATTCAAATGTCCCCTAGTATCTTTTCTCTGTCCTGGGACCCGCATCGAGGACACCACGCTACACTGAGCTGTCATGTCTCCTTGGGTCCTCCAGCCCGTGGTCACCCGGCTGAGGTCCTGTTAATCCGGTTTCTCCACGTGGAGTTTCTCCCCCTCCTCCTTCCAAACCCGGGTCCCTGATGGAAAGGATGGTCCACCTCTTTGAGGCCAGAGAATACTCGGACATTATCTGGAATCACTGTAGATGTTTTAAAACACACTTTACTGTAGTGCCTTAAAATAAAGGCGTGTTAAATGTTTCTGAGTGAAAACAAGCAGGAAACTCTATCAAGGCTAGCGTTTCCCTCCACTCATTCATTTCTCCAGAGTCAACAGGACAGTAGTCTCCCCTTCTCCTTGGTTTGGCGTTCCTTGGTTTTAGTTACCTGCAGCCAACTGCGGTCCAAAGGTTATTAAATGGAAAATTCCAGAAATAAACAATTCATAAGTTTTAAACTGCGCGCCTTTCTGAGTAGCCTGGTGAAATCCCCAGCCGTTCTGAGTGGCCCACTGAAATCTCTCGTTTTTTTCTGAGCCGAGCTGATGAAATCTCGCGTGGTCTCCCGCACGCGATGAAATCTCGCGTAGTCTGCGGCTCCGGTCCTGTCCCACACAGAACGTGAATCACGCCTTTGTCCTGCCTCTCTGCGCTGGATGTTCCCCTGAGGTACAGTGGGGCCTTGACTTACGCGTGTGCCGACTAACGAGTTTTTTGAGATAGGAGCCATCTCTCGGCCGATTTTTTGCTTTGAGTTGCAAGCTAAACTTCGGGTTACGAGCCAGCTCCCGGTACCCCACCGCCAGTTGGCGCAGCGAACGTCTCAGTGAACGCCACAACATCAGCCCAGCGTCACCTGTCTCACTCGTTCACTTTTTGATTTGACATACGAGTAATTTGAGTTATGAGCTCCGTCACGGAACGAATTAAACTCGTAAGTCAAGGCCCCACTGTAGTCACTGAGTAGCCATCTTGACTGAGGAGGATGGCAGTGCTCTGGCTCAGGTAACCCCTAACTTTCCTCAGTAATGGTCCCAAAACACAAGAGTGGTGACCCTGGCAGCTTGGGGAAGCCAAAGAGAAGCCATACAGAGCTTCCTTGAAGTGAAAAGGTGAGTGCCCTTTAATACGGTATTTTGAGAGAGAGAGGGAGTCCACGTTCATATAAACATTACTTCAGTATATTGTTATAATTGTTCCATCTTATTATTGTTGTTCATCTCTCCCTGTGCTAATTTATAAATTAAACTTTATCATAGGTATGTATATACAGGAAAAAACAGCATATATTGGGTTTGGTACTCCACGGTCTCAGGCATCCATGGGGGACCCTTGGACCATATCCCCCAAGGATAAGGGGCAACTGCCGTACATAAGAGACATTGTCCTCTGAACTGTGGACACTTCATGGCACTATAACGCTTCAGGGCCAGAAGCCAGGCTCCGCTCTCTCGGTGGGGCAGTGTCTGGCATATGGAAAACGTGGAGTCTGGGAACATTTTTAAAATGTGTATGCTTTTTGGCATTTCAGCCCAGATTTGGCCGTGAGTCAGTTTTCTGGCTTTTAAAGTGTACTATGGTTACGTAAGTTATAAACTGAGCGAAGGTTATGATACCAACAAATGTGGGTGTTGTTTGGAGTCTGAGTTCTTGTCTCGAGAAAATCGGAGACTGAAGTGGCGGATAAAAATAATGAGCGGGAACAAAATTGATTGGGAGAAGCCAGCCCTGGCAAAGGTGCAGCCGGGGTTCCAGGAGCAGGCCAGGGTCCGGAGCTTCCTTCCCATGTTGCAGGGGGGAATAGTTTGACATCCGAGCGCATTGAAGTCTGAGAGTCCATGTGTGGAGGCCCACATGGCCATAAGCCACGTGCCGCCCCTGCCACAGGAACAAATGTCAGGAAGCCATCGTGTGCGGGGAGAAGAGACGGTGACCAGAAGTGCGCACCTTTTATGTAGGGGTGGGTAGTCTTGCTAGCTCCTAATTGGTCTTTTCAAAGACTTCTGCCTTAGCAATGCCTTTTGGATTGGTTTATACATCTTCCTGCCTTTTGATTGGTTATCTGCAGGCTGTCTGTCTTAGCAATGCCCACACATTTTAAAGTTTATGCCTCTTGCCCTAACCGGTTTGGCTCAGTGGATAGAGCATCGCCCTGTGGACTTGAAAGGAAAAAAAATGCTACAAGCCGCCTGTTTTATCTCAACTCCCCGGCTCCCCCTATTGTAGCCCTAACCAGTTTAGCTGAGTGGATAGAGAGTCGGCCTGCAGACTGAAGGGTCCAGGTTTCGATTCCGGTCAAGGGCATGTACCGTGGTTGCAGGCACATCCCCAGTAGGAGGTGTGTAGGAGGCAGCTGATAGATGTTTCTCTCTTATCGATGTTTCTAACTCTCTATCCTCTCCCTTCCTTTCTGTAAAAAATCAATTTAAAAAGTATTAAATAAATAAATAAATAAATAAAATAAAGTTCATGCCTCTCTAGAGAGTGCCCTTTCTTCCCTGCGCAGTTTGGGTGCCTTAGTAACTCCACCTAGCTGGGTTCCCGGTTCCATGTCCTTTCCCCGTGGCCCCACCCCTATCTACCTGTTAGGTTAGGTTAGGTTTAATGGAGCAATTGAACTGATATGCCTCCTCCCCAGGAACTGGCTTTTCAGGTCATTTCACTATGGACATCCCCTTCGCTGAGACCACATTTCACTTGCGGTGATCACATTCCATTATCTCCCCTTCTGGTATGCATAAAGGAGTCTCCACCCAGAAAAAAAGCCCGCCAAAAGTCCTTGAAAAGCCGCTGACTCCCCTCACTGGGCGCTGGAGCCATCCAGGCTCGGCCACCTGGTGTGCGGATGATCGAATAAATTCATAATCCCTCACCACTCTGGCCTCATGTGTCATCCTTTGTCGACCTAACACTACCTAGCTTCCTTTTGTCTCCTCAGTTACATGGTGGAGGAGGGGAGCTGCTCTGAACAGAAGAGTGGACTTGGGAATGAGAGAAAAATTTCAATAAGCTTTTTCTTGTGTCTGTAATGTTTAATGCAACTATTATATGAAGTGAAAAAATTTGGATTTTTCTTTTTTTAAAACTATATTTTTATTGACTTCAGAGAGGAAAGGAGAGAGAGAGAGAGAGAGAGAGAGAGAGAGAGAGAGAGAGAAACCTCAATGATGAGAATTATCTATTGTCAGCCTTCTGCACACCCACTACTGAGGATGGAGCCTGCAACCCAGGCTTGTGCCCTAACTGGGAATCGAACTGTGACCTCCAGGTTCATAGGTCGACGCTTAACCACTAAGCAACACCAGCTGGACAAGAGAGGTCTTATTCAGTCAAACCTTGATTCTCAAATGTCTTCCATCCAGAACAATTTGATTCTCACCCAAGTTGTTCACAGAAAAATTGTCTCCCTTGTGGATCAAAACTTTAGTTTTCAACCTGACAACCCTTTCATGCTGATACCTCAGCATGACAAAAAGCATCTCTCAGGCAACGAAGAAGAGAATGCTTTTATTGCCGGGGAAATCTATAATTAGCAGAATTTTAAAACAAAGAGGTCATCAAGAATGCTAATGTTGCTAAGGGTGTGAAAGTGCTCACAAAACAACAATCCAGGCAATTGGAATTGGTAGAAAAATTGTTGATTGGATAAATGAAAAGCAGTTAGCTGGTGATAGCATTTCCCAGGCAGTGATATATGAAAAATTTGTTTAAGGCTAGTAGAGGGTGGTTTGATACATTTAAGAAAAGA